GAGGGAATTTGAAATCACTCCGGAGCCTCCCCCCCGCCCCTCCTGCACAGGCGCCGCCTCTTGTCCCCGGGCCAGTTCCAGCACCCACAGGGATACCAAGACTTAATGGGGAACCCCCAGGGGTCCCCCAAGACACGAGACTCCCTCTGAGTCTCCTCTCTGTCCCCGACCCCGACCCCGGACCCAGAAACAGGGTTCTGGGTCTGGATACGGGGCCCAGAGCGGGAAGCGGCCCCCAGCAGCCATTGACCCCCACCTCCAGCTGCAAGGTCACCTGGGCGCTGCGGTGCCCCTGCCAGCCAGCCACCCGGTTCTGGACTCTCAGACTAGTCAATCCTTCCTTCCTCCGGGCTCAGCCTTTATCAGCCATCTTGGGGGGGGGGGGGGGGTAGAGCAGGGGAGGAAAGGCGGCCAGGTCCCTGGCTGCCTGGGTTCTTGGATCTGCTTGCATCAGGAGCGGGAGAAGCCTCATTCTGTTCGCAGGTCTCAACTTCCTCTACCCTTAAAGGGGCACTAAACTACTGGAAAACCGAACTTCCTAATATTTATCATACCTGGTATTTATACTTCCTACAGGGTGGGGCAAAAGTAGATTTATAGTTTTAAGTGAATGAAAGTTTATTTCCTGCATTATTGTTTATTAGTTATGGCCTTATTTTCCATACAAACGACTGTAAACCTACTTTTGCCCTATCCTGTATTTTTTTTTCTTTTTACCTGCTTATGTGTATCTCTACACATTAGACTGTGAAGGCAGGGTCTCAGTGTGTCTTAGCACACAGTAGGTGCTCAATAAATGTGTTGAATGAATGAAAGAACAAATGAATGATGACATGATGGCCTTCAAAGCCTTATAGCTGGCTCCTGCCTCACCTCTCCCTCACATCACTCTCATCTCCTCACCTCTTTGCTGTCCCTCAAACACATTAAACATGTTCCTGGACATTCTTTGCCCAGATCTCTGCATGGCCAGCTTCTCACCATTCAGTTCTCTCCCAAAGGTCACCTTCTGGAGAGGCTTTTCCTGAGCATGCCACCAGAACAGTCTACCTCTCCATCACTCCTATTTCATTTTCTTTGTAGCACTTACAGCTGTTTGAATAATTTTGCATAATTCCTTGTTTACATCTTTGTTTTCTTGTTATACACACACACACACACACACACACACACACACACAATCAACTCTACTTCATGAGGGCAGAAAACACCTGTCTGTCTTGTTTCAAGCTTTATTTCCTGTGCCTACAGGAGCTCAATACAAGTTTGATGAATGAATGAATTACTGAATGAGCACAGGTTTCCTGCCTCCTGGGCTCTAGTCTCTGAGTAAAACCACAGCTTTCTCCCTTCATCTCTTACCAGGTATTTGCGAATAAGTAAATGGCAAATTCTCTGGAAGTTGCAAATGCTTCTAAACTTACTGGCTTTTGTTCAACCTAGGAACCTGAAGAGAGGCTAAGGAGATACAAAAGTGAATGCGCTCAGCAACCAGTGGAGCCTCCTGTGACTGGCAGCAGGAACTCCTTGACCTCTGGCACAAACATCCAGAATTGGGTTCCAGTCAGTTGGTACAGGAAGAAGAGGTATGTCTTAGAGGAAAGAAAACATATATGGCCCTAGCCGGTTTGGCTCGGTGGATAGAGTGTTGGCCTGCGGACTGGGGGGTCCCAGGTTCGATTCCGGTCAAGGGCACATGCCTGGGTTGCGGGCTTGATCCCCAGTGGGGGGTGTGCAGGAGGCAGCCAGTCGATGATTCTCTCTCATCATTGATGTTCCTATCTCTCTTTCCCTCTTAATTCCTCTCTGAAATCAATAAAAATATATTTTAAAAAAAAACATATATGAGCTAGTGGGCCTGTGGGCGGGCTGCCGGGCCTCCATTTTCTGATCATAAGCTAAGATCTGTCATGTGGTAAAGGATGTCTGTGCCCCACCAGGAATGCCTGGAAGGCCTAGTTAAGATGCCAGAGCGTTGAGTTTTCTGGGATGTGGCCGAATTTTCTGGCAACAGTAGACAACCTAACTCCAAGAAATAACAAATAGAGGGTCCAAATGAACAAGCAGTTAAAAAGGAGCATGAACACCAGAAGAACCATGAAAGAAAAAAGGCATGATGCCTCCCCAGGACACAAAACCTTATAATTTGGAAAAAAAAAATTGGTCATAGTCACCATCTCATTTGAGCTTCGCAGCCACTCCAGGAGGAGTCAGGGCATGGAGAATTGAGGGCCCCTTTTCAGATGAGAGACTGAGGTCTAGACAAGAGAGGGACTTGTACAAAGTAAGTCTGTCAGGCAGCCTGGCCTTGCTGGGCACCTGCTATGTGGCATGTACCTGACCACGAATTCAGACAGGGAGGCCCAGGGCTCACATGCTGGTTGAGGACTGTCAATGAACATAAAGAAATAGGAGACTGGCAGGTATAGACACACCTGGGAAGACGATAGAATGGAGACGGAAGTGATGCAGCCTGAGTCAGGCCAGGATCCAGCTTGGCCTGTGGGAAGGACAGCCTAGAGGCCAGTGTGGCCAGAGCAGAGGGAGTGAGGAAGGGAGAAATAACTAGGGATGGGAGAAGATGCAGGGTCTAATAAGTTGTGGTGACTTTGGACTTTGGATGTCATCATTTGAACCATGATTCAACTCATATATTAAACAGACCCAGGTAGGGAGAGATGGATGAGAAGGAGGCTGATACCTGATCTGGAAGACTAAGAATCTGGTGGCCTGGACCATGGTGGGACTAAAGGAAGTGGAAGAGTGACTGGATTTAGGATAGGTTGTGGAGACTGAGTCAAGTGGTGCTGATGGTTCCAGGGGTAAAGGGAAGAGTGGCATCAAGGATGATTTACCCTGAGCACCCATGGGAAGGGAGGTTCATTAACTAAATGAAGAAGGCTCCCAGATGGCCTGGAAGTTGGCCTGGAAGTTGCTTGCAGATCCCCTCTGCTTTTCTCCTGCTCCTGCTCCTGTGCAGTCGCAGCAAGGTAGATCTGCTTTGGCCATGTGAATGTAAATGTGAATGTGGAGTCACAGGCACTGTGTGCTGGGCTAACTCCCAGCTCCCCAGCTCTCATTTCTACTGTTCCTCTTACTATCTGGGTGGTAGGACATGCCATATACATCTCCCACACCACACCCTCTCCTCCAGCATGCATTCCTAGAGCGACTGACTCCATGTCCTGGGGGGTGAGGGTGAGGAGGCTTTTTATCAGACTGTGTTTGGAATCCTACCTCCAAGATCCCATGACTGATAAGTCACCTGGTTTCTCTGAGCCTCAATTTCCTTAGCCATAGAAAAAGAATCCTTCACAGAATTGCTACTGGGACAATTGAATGCACTTAAATGAAAACATTGATGCTGGATTACCCAGTTGGGCAGACAAAGCGCTTGCGCGCACGCACACACACACACACACACACACACACACACACACACACGGTGTTCCAAAAAATGTATACACACTTTGAATAATTAATAATTCCAATGGGTTAAATCTGAAAAGAAAGAAACATCAATTGAGCTATCAGCTGTTAAGTGTGTATGCATTTTTAATCCTTATCCAAGGACACATTTTTATTGATTTTTAGAGAGAGAGAGAGAGAAAAGAAACACCGATTGATTACATCTCATACACACCTCGACCAGGACTTGAACCCGAAATCTAGGTATGTGCCATGACCAGGAATCAAACCCACAACCTTTTGGTGTAGGGGGCAACACTCAAACTAATAGAGCCACCCGGCTAGGGCAGAAATATTTTTATGAAAGATTTTGTTTGTCTGTAATTGGAAAAAAGATTTTGCTTTTATTTTCACCATTTCTTCCTCCCACCCCACCCCCTGCAAGATTTTGCTTCTTAATGTTTAAAAAATATATAGATATTACTATATACACACAAAGGCAGCAGAGAACATGGAAAGTTAGAAAAAACTTTTGTTTCTAGATAGACTGATTTCAAATACTCCTCTGGTTGCATACTGGTAAAATGGCGTTTACTTAAAATTTTATTGTGCCATCACAATCATTGTAATCGTGATGGAAATCAATGTTTATAAAGGAAACAACAGAATTCTGTGATTAAAGGTCATTTGTTTCATCACCCAAAAACACACAGATAAGAAAATGTCCTTGCTGTTAGGAAATAAACACTAAAGTATTTAGGAGTAAAGGACACAATGTCACCAATTTTCCCTTAAATGGTTCAGAAACAATAAGATGCATATATATATGAGAAAGGGAGAGTATAAAGCAAATGGGCAAAATGTAAATAAATGGAGAATCTGATTAAAAAGACATTTTAAGAGTTCCTTGTACTAGTATTACACTTCCATAAATTAGAGATTATATTGATTAAAAAGGTGCCCATCCCCCCCCCCCAAATTGATGTTGCCCTGGCCAGATAGTTCAGTTGTCTAGAACATCTTCCTGATATACCAAGGTTGTGGGTTTGCTCCCTGGTCAGGGCACATACAAAAATCAACCAATGAGTGCATTAATAAGTAAAACAACAAAATTGATGTTCCTCTTTCTATCTCTTTCTCCTTCTTCCTCTCTCTCTCAAATCAATATACTTTTAAAAAAACTTTTTAAAAGACTCAATATTATCACTTTATTCAGGAGATAATAAAATACAATACAGAGCTGACAATGAAAAATAGTTGAACATAGCCCTGGCTGGGTAGCTCAGTTGGTTGGAGTGTCATCCCGAAGCACCAAGGTTGTGAGTTCAATCCCCAGTCAGGGCACATAAAGTATCAGCCATTGAATGCATAAATAAGTGGAACAACAAATTGATGTTTTTTTCTCTAAAATCAATACATACCTAAAAATGTTGTTTAAAATAGCTGTACATAGAATTATATAAATCTGCTACATTTTCCAGAAGAGATCCAATCATGTAAACACAAAAGGAAAACCAGGCCTGGCCGACATTGCTCGGTGGTTGAGCATCAATCTATGAACCAGGAGGTCACAGTTCGATTCCTGATTCCAGGTTAGGGCACATGCCCGGGTTGTGGGCTTGATCTCCAGTGAGGGGTGTGCAGGAGGTGGCTGCTTGATGATTCTCTCTCATCATTGATGTTTCCATCTCTCTCTTCCATTCCTCTCTGATCTAAATAAAAAGTATATATATAACTCAAGGGAAGGCAGTTTGCCTGAAAGCCACAACTAGTTGGTGGCAAAGCTGGGACTAGACGCCGAGCTCCAGCCCCACCCCCCTACTCTGAGTAGCTCTGAGTGTGCTATATGCTAAGGAGTTTGGACCTCAGTCATCTCCTCATCTAATTGGAATAATAATAATAATCCTAATGCCTACTTCCCAGAATGTCTGAGGGATTCACAGAGCCCAAGTATGTGAAAGGACCTCATTGTAAAGTACTCAGTCTTAATTGCAGTGTCATTAGAGGTCATGTTCATTTGCAAAGTAGGTTCCTCACCTTTCATTTTCTTTTCCTTTTTTCCTCACCTTTCATTTTCAACAGGAACATCCTGTTAACCATTAGAAGGAATTCCTTTCTGCTTCATTATTTTTAAAAACTTTTATTTATTGATTTGAATTTTTAAAAAAATTGATTTGAGAGAGAGACATTTATCGGTTGCCTCTCCCCCACACCCCAACCGGGACCCAACCTGCAACCTGGGCATGTGCCCTGACCTGAAATGAACCGGCAACCTTTGGGTGCACAGGACGATGCTTAACCAACTGAGCCACACTGGCCAGGGCCTATTTATTGATAGAGAGAGAAAGAGAGCTAGAGAGAGGAGGGAGAGAGAGAGAGAGAGAGAGATCAATTTGTTGTTCCACTTACTTATGTACTTTCCATCCTCCTTCTATATATCCTCATCCAATATGCAATGTATTTACTTACTTATTATTGTCTACCTGACTGGAATAAGTCTTTGAGGGACACCTTATTTATATGTTTGACCACTGCTATATGTTGTTCATTGGGATCTAAAATAGGGCCTAGCTCATAGTAGGTGCTCAATAAATATTTGTTGGTGAGTCAGGGAACACAGGTTTAGGACTTACCTATAGCACTTATCTTCTCTAATGCTTGGATTTCTTCCTTAAAAGGGGGGCTCCCAATGTTTTCCTCATTGTGTTGCTATGATAAATTACATGATACATGGAAATGCATGTTGTAGAATACTGCCCAAGTGTTGATAGTGAAGAGGTCCTTTGGCTTAGGACATTGGCTTCTGGCATCTGTGTGACCTTGGAAAGGACACTCAAATTCCTTGGCCCTACTAGTATCTGCTTCAGAAGTTTACTGAGGGTTAGATAAGAAGCATGTGGAAACTAAACACAATGGCCTGATATGTAGTAATATTAACTACGGTCATTGTTGTTGAGGGACTGGAAAGGAAGGATTCCACTTCCTGGATTTGCTGTGGATCCGGACTCTGCCTCCTCTTTTGTTGTGGGATAAAATAGAGGGGATGGACCCCCTAGTGCAGACCTGTCCTTATCTCTTCTGGGCAGGCCCTCTTGCTCAAAGCTTCAGGAAGTGCATATACACAGCACGCTGATAACCCTGCCTGCAGGCTGGGCTTTGGAAAGTGATTACAGTAGTGCTCCCCCTCTACTCACAGGGGATACATTTCAAGACCCCAGTAGATGCCTGAAACCTCTGATACTACTGAACCCCATTATACTATGTTTTTTCCTAACCACACTCATGATAAAGTTTAATTAATAAATTAGGCACTAGAGATTCTTAGTAAACACTAAGAATAAAATAGAACAATTATAATAATATACTATAATAAAAGTTATGTGAATGTAGTCTCTCTCTCTCAAAATATCTTGTTCTATACTCACCCTTCTTCTTCTTGTGATGATGTGAGATGATAAAATGCCAAACCTATTCCTGAGTCTGTGTAACTAGACTTTACTTGCAGTAAATTGCTTGGTGTCACTTGTTTCAGATCCCTTGCTGAAGTCTTCATACAGGCTCAGTGCTTTCTGGTGCAACACATTGCCCTCAATATCAACACTTTTTCTTTTTTAAAAAAATATATTTTATTAATTTTTTACAGGGAGAAAGGGAGAAGGATAGAGAGTTAGAAACATCGATCAGCTGCCTCCTGCACACCCCCCTGGGGATGTGCCCACAACTAAGGTAAATGCCCCTGACCGGAACTGAACCTGGGACCCTTCAGTCCGCAGGCCAACACTCCATCCACCGAGCCAAACCGGGTAAGGCCAACACTTTTTCTTTCTTTCTTTTTCTTTTTTTGAACTACCATGCTCTTTATTCTCTTGATTTTCCTCCAGAATTTTAAATAGCTCTACCAAGAACAAATATTACAGAGTTTTTTAAATGAAAAACAATGTTTGGGTGCAGGGTTATCATTATTGTAGATACTATATACAGCCTTTAAAATCACCTGTTCAATGACCAAAGCTTTGAGAAAGTCATTAAAAGCATTTCCTCTTAATGTCAGGTGGGGTTCAATGCTGTCCGAAGCTGTTCATCAACACTTTTTCTCTTCATGGCCTCCACCCACAAATTTAATGCCTTTTCTATATTACCTAAGCACTCATTATGCACTGTGGCCATAACTTTTGTTGTTGTTGTTAATCATCACCCAAGGATATTTTTTCCATTGAATTTTTAGAGAGAATGGAAAGGAGGAAGAGAGACAGAGACAGAGAGACATCCACTGGTTACATTCTGCATGCCCCCACCAGGGCCAGGAATCAAGCCTACAACCAACATATGTGGTACGTGCCCTTGACCAGAATCGAACTAGTGACCCTTCAGTCCTCAGGCCAATGCTCTAACCACTGAGAAAACCTGGCCAGGGTTGTGGCCATAACTTTTATAGTTTAAGGTACGACAGCAAAACTATAACACAAATTTGTCTTTCCTTCTTCACAATCTCACTGATAGATTTATTCTTACCATAGATCTTAGCAACCTCAGCTTATGATTTTTTTCTTTCTTTATTAAGTCAAGAACTTTCCCCTTTTCACTTAAAGGAAGCATTTTATGGCTTCTCTGGCATATCCGAATTGCCAGCATCGCTATTCTTACGCTTTGGGGCCAACATGAAGTAAAATGAACAGAAGCGTGGCAAGGATGGCTACTGAGAGACTAAGGGGCGGGAAGCATACTCAGCCTGGGGAAGCTGGACAAAGGGATGACTCACGCCCTGAGTAGGATGGCGCGAGATTTTGTCAGGCTACTCAGAATGGTGCACAATTTAAAACTTAGGAATTGTTTATTTCTAGAATTTTCCATTTAATATTTTCAGACCATGATTGACCATGGCTAACTGAAACTGTGGAAAGAAAAACTGCAGATAAGTTGGAACTACTGTACTCAGTTCTGTTGAGCTGGGGAGTAATGAGAGAAGGCAAGGTGGCATGTCCAAGACCACAGGGCTTCCCCCTTGATTGTTATATTATTTTGTTCAGGGCCTGACAACTCAGTCTGCTTAATTTTTATTCATCTTTCAGGTCTACCTTCACCTGGCTTCCTCTCCCCTCTACCAGGGTTATGTTTGAACCTGCTCACAATCCCCACTCTCTTTCCTAGCATTTATCCCTTTTTAATGTCTTCAAATACAGTCTGTCTCCTCCATTAGATTGTAAACTGCATGGGTGAGGAGCAGTAATCTGTGTTGTTCACTGCTGTGTCCCTAGCACCTAGCAACAGGCCTCAATAAATATGTGCTGCTTGAATGAATGAATGAATGAGTGGACTCGTTAATTTTTAAGATAATAAAAATGGTCTAGAAGAGAAAGTTCTTCAGATAAATCCTCCAAGGTTATACCCCAAGGTTGTGTTCACAGCACCCAGCAGCAATTTGCATTGCAGTCTTAATCTGGGCCAGACCAGGCATTCCTGAGGAGAAAAACAAAGCAGACAATAGAGATCTGAGCCCTCGTTTTCTTAGGCAAAGGAGTCCTACCATGAATTTGAAATACAGGGTGAGATATCCAAAAGGTTGGAGTCATTATCACCACCACCCTCAAAACTAGGAATTACCAAAAGACCCTTTAAAGAGCAAATTTCTAGAGGGGACAGTTTAAATGTCCATTGAAGTTTAGGCCAAGGATCTTGAAAAGACTTAAACTTTACTCCAGGAATTACATATCTCAAATTTGTCCCAAGGAGAAATCTTGAGATTTGGAAGAATATTTTTAAACAGAGAAGCGAATTCATCACCCCAGCCTATGAAAAAATCAGAATTGGAGCTGTCTTAGAAATCCAACAATAGAATATTGTTTGTATTAATTTGCATGTGTAAAGATAAAAAACTAAAAATGGAATTGCCTCCTCTTCCTCAGCTTCCAGCAAGCTCATAGTCAATTTAACAGCTAATCAGTAATCTTGCCACAGCTCCATATGATGGTGAGTTTGCATCCAACCTGGTCCGGATTTACTATTTTTATTTTTTTAAACTCCTTTTTCACATGCCTCATCTTCTCTGCCTAACAGCCTCCCAACAAGGGAGCTTTAATCTGGTTCACTGTTTTGTCCCTGCACCCAGCAAGATGTGGGGGTGCATAGTAGGTGTTCAACAAAGACATGTTGCATGAATGGACTAAAGTATGTACAAGGCTGAACTCAAATCTTCTTGGGCAAGTTGGCAACTCCAAACCAAGTGGAAGGTACTGACCTAGCAATTCCATTCTAAGACAGAGTAACTCTATTCATCAGATATCTGTATATGCAAAAATGTTCTCTCTAGCATTTGTAATAGTGAAAACGTAGGCAAACCCTAAGTGGTTAAATCAGATAGGACTTTTCCATACAATGAAACACTATGCAGCTGGAAAAGAACTAGCAAATCTGAAAGTGCTGATAAGGCGAGAGCTCCAAGATATGCTGCTAAGTGAAAAGGCAAGATGCTATAAACAGTGTACACAGTGCACGTTTGAGTCCATGGTTCAAAAAATAATAATAATAATATGGAGAAAAAGTCGAATAGATCATTCCAGAGTGATCCTGGTGTGCCCCTAACCAACAAGTGACTGGGTCACACCTCTCTAAGCCCCATCTCCCCTCCTACAAAAAACAAGGATAAGAGTTAACACCTCCTGGTGGTGTTACTGAGAGGATTAAGGGAGAAAATGCATGTAAATGGCCAGCACCTCTCCCAGAGTGAGTACACAAACATATATTTGTTCAAATAGAAAATGATTTCCTTTATGACAGGATGGGAACAAAGATCATTTCACTTTTTTTTAACCCCCATTTTAAAATTTATTTTGTAAATGAATTCAAATTTACAAAAGAGTTGCAAGAATAATACAAAGCCGCTGTCACCAATTGTTAACATGTGCCATATTTGCATTACCCCTCAATTTTTTCTTGGAACATTTTATCTTCCTTTACCTTAAATACTTTTAGCATGTATTTATTTTTTTTAAAGTATGTTTTTATTGATTTCAGAGTGGAAGGGAGAGGGAGAGAGAGATAGAAACATCAATGTTGAGAGAGAATCATTGATCGTCAGTATGTACTTCTTAAAAACAAAACCATTCTCTTAGATAACCAAATACAATTATCAAATTCAGGAATTAAACATTGATACAATACTCTTGTCTAATCTATAGTTGTGTTCAAATTTCATCAATTGTCCCAATAATGTCCTTTTAAAAAATTGTGATAAAAAACACTACATAATGTAAAATTTACCATCTTAGTGTACAGTTTAGTAAAGTATATTCTCATTGTTGTGCCAAGAATATATTCTATAGCAATTTTGTACCTCCTCCAGGATCATACATTGCATTTAGTTAACTTGTCTTTTTTAGTTTCTTTTAATCTGGAAAAATTCCCCAGACTTCCTTTGTTGATGACTTTCATGACGTCAGTGTTTTGAAAAGTCTAGGCCAACTGTAATTTTGTGTGTTTGATATGTGCTTTTATAATAAAGGAGCTAATATGGAAGGTATGATTAGATAAATGGAATCATAGAAATATCCATAATTTTTGTTTTGTTTTCTGTTTTTGGTAAAAGAGGACCTGGAGTTTGTTTCTTCTGTCCTTGGGCTTCCTAGTGATGAGTTGTATAAGTTCTTTATATATTTTGAAAATTAATCCCTTATCAGATGTCGAATATGTTCTCCCATACTGTGGGTTCTCTTTTCTTTCGTTAATGGTTCTTTTGTTGTGCAGAAGCTTTTTAGCTTGATATAGTCCTATTTTTTATCTTTTCCTGAGTTTTCCTTACCCTTGGAAGTACAGCGGAGAAATATTGCTGTGAGAGATAGCTGAGATTTTATTGCTTATGTTTTCTTCTAGGATTTGCATGGTGTTGTGACTGACATTTAAGTCTTTTATCCATTTTGAGCTTATTCTTGTGTATGGTGGTCTAGTTTCTTTTCTTTCTTTTTCTTTCTTTTTTTTTTTTTTGCATGTGCCTGTCAGTTTTCCCAGCACCGTTTATTGAATTTATTCCATTATATGCTCTTGACTCCTTTGTCAAATATTAATTGACCATAGAGGCGTAGGTTGATTTCTGGGCTCTCTATTGTGTCCCATTGGTCTATATGCCTGTTCTTATGCCAGTATCAGGCTGCTTTGATTATAATGGCCTTGTGGTACAGTTTGATATCCAGTATTGTGAAACTGGATAAAGAAGGTGCAGGGATTAACTAAAGACCATATATGCATACTGCTTGGACACAGACAATAGTTTGGTGAAGGCCAAAGGAGGGAGAGTTGGGGGTGAATGGAAGTGGGCAAAAGGGGGAAAAAGAGGGATACCTTCAATTATGTCAACTTTAGAATTTTTAAATAAAAAATGCCCTTGAGCAATGCACAGGATCCTTCTGTATCTCACCTGTTTCAATGTCAATCTCCTGGTTGTGAGACTGACTGTACTATAGCTTTGCAAGATGGGATCTATGCCTTGAGAGAAACTGAGTGAAGGGGACAGAGACCTCTCTGTATGATTTTTTACAACTGCATATGAATCACAATTATCTCAAAATAAAAAGTTTCATTTTTTAAAACTGTCCTTTGGCATTTCAGAGTGAAGGGACAACCCTTCTCCTAGAGAGAATCTGGCCCCTTGGTGAAATTCCCAGCAGGAATCCTCACGCCTGAGAAAGGACTTCTTAATGAACTTCTTTCACTTGCAGGGATTGGGGGAGGGGGGGTTCCTTTGCTTTCTTCAGGGACATTTTCAAGTGAATGAAGGGAGCAAGGTCCCTCATTAAGGATAAAATGGGAACTGTTGGGGGCAGGGTTCTTTAGAAGGGTGGCCTGGCCCCAGGTCTGCATTTCCTGCTACAATGTCACATTAGCAGTAATCACTGCTCTTTCCTTTATCCAAGAGTGGACTGTGAATGAGAATGTTGGAAACACCATTTTTATCTACTGTTTTTGTCAGTTGAGACGTTCTTAATAAAACTGAAAAATCATAAAGAGGCAACCATGGGAATTCTATGTGGTATGCAGTGGCATTTTATGATGTTTTTATACTACTTACAATTGAAGCCAAGAATGGTGTTGTCTGAGATTCTGAGGCCTTTAGAGCACTTGAACTTCTCCTTGGGGCTCAGGGAATGTGGGTTGTGGGCAGGATCAACCTGCTGCCAGGTGCCTGTTCAGGCTGAAATGCTAATTTCTTGATGTTCTCAGAGAGATCAGTTATGGCCTAGCCTCTCCCTACCTTGAAAGTTTGTCCATCCTTGTGCTATTTTGAACCTAGAACCTGGGAACATAGTATCCCTTGACCCTTCTAGGAGTTTCTCCCAAAGAAACAAAACAATCAGATATGGCAAAAGAATTATGTGCAGGGATGCTTTTTGACTTGTTCTGTTTATAAGATTGGAAAATTGGAATAATAATAACAAAGATGTATTGAGCACTTAACATGGGCCAGTTGCTGTGCTGTTTTACAAATATTATCTCAGTTCATCTTTTCTAGTAGGTTCTATTAAATATCTTCTTTTTTACAATTGTGAAAAGAAATGGAGGCACAGAAAGGTTAGTAATTTGCCCAAGACAACATAATTAGTAAGTGGGGGAGACAAATGTGTAATAAACAACGGCAGTAACACAATGTGATAAGCATTAACATTAAAATAATATGGGCAACAATAGGTAGGCAATGCAAAGTATTAACATTATACATGCTACATAATTGGGTGCTTAAAATAAAGCCCTATACATGATAGGCATTTAAAAAATGCTCATTATTTGTACTTCAAACTTAAATGTTCCCAGTGATCACCTGGAGATCTTGTTAAAAAATGCAGATCCTGAATCAGCAGGTCTAAGGTAGGCCTAAGGGTCTGCATTTCTAACATATTCCCAGGTAATGTCCTTACTGCTGGTCCGAGGACAATATTTTGAATTCAGGGCGTGGGAGAGCCCTGAATATATAAAAATAAGACAAATCACTGAAACCCCAATGACCTGTCATATGGAAAAAGACTATACAATAATAGTTACTCATTGCAGTGTTGGCCTACAGTTTCAAATGAATTTCTTTCCCTTTCTCTGTTTTCTGTCACATAGGCCAATCAAATTCCACAAATATTTATTAAGTGGCTCAGCACCTGTCACTGTAGGAGTAGAAATAAAGGAAATCTAGTGGTTTCCTCAAGGATGTTTAAAAAAGAAAAAAAAAAAAGGCTAAAATAATTTAAAGAAACACACTTTAAATGGGTGCATTTCATTGTATATAAATCATAACTCAAACAAAGTTGATTTAACACTTAAAGATATAAGTAAATATAATGCTCTGACAGGGATCTTTTTTAAAAGATTAAAAATATTTTAAAATAAGAATTCCTGGATGGTGAGTCAGGAGGTCTGAGTTCACTCCCTGTCTGTCTGTGACTGGAAGGTTTACTCTCTTCCAGGTACCTTGAACTTGGAAACACCTTGTACTTCTTGGCATCAGTTAATGATTTCACACACACATGAATTTCACGTGTGGGTATGCCTTCCTGACCAAACTCACGTCCCCCAGGCCAGGCCTGCATCTGGTTTTGTCACAAGGTCTCCCAGCACCTGCCCTGGCATCTGCCTCACAGTAGGCACTCAATAGTATTTGTTAAATGAATGCATGAATGAAATAATGGTTAAATGGGAGGAGCTTAGCCTCTGGGCAGAAGACATATTTTAAAAACATTTTTTATTGATTTCAGAGAGGAAGGAAACATCGATGATGAGAATCATTGATTGGCTGCGCCCCCTACTGGGGGTCGAACCCGCAACCCCTGCATGTGCCCTTGACTAGAATCGAACCCGGGACCCTTCAGTCTGCAGGCCAACACTCTATCCACGGGGCCAAACCAGCCAGGGCTGAGTGGAAGACATCTTGTTCATACCCGCAAAGAAGGTGAAGAAGCTCTTGGGCTTGGAGATGAGGTCCTAGATTGCAAGGAGCATGCCTCCATTTCCCAGCGGGGAGCTGGAGGATTCTCGGGGTCCTTGGGCAGAGAGCCGGGGGTTCACAGGGCCGCAGTGATTAGCAACTGTCCCAGGAACCTCCTCCCACCCACCTGATCACTGCCCTCCCTGCCACTACCACCGCCCGTGCACTTGTGTGTTTTGTTCATCCTCACCTGATATTTTCCATTGTTGTTGTTTTTTAGAGAGTGTAAGGGGGGGAGAGAAACAGGGGTGTGTTGGTTGGTTGCCTCCCACACGCCTCCCGACCGGGGCCAGGGCAGCCCTGGCACAAAGTCCTTTAGGTCAGTTCCCCAAGTGTGGTCCCAGGGAGCTGGTGGGCAATGCAAATCCTCAGGCTCCACCCCAGCTTTTCTAATCTGACGCTCTGGGGACGGGACCCCGTCATCTGCCTGGAGCAAGCCCCCTACCCCCGGAAGATGCTGATGCAAGATCCAGGTTGCGACCCACGGCCCTCGCTCCTCCGAGAAAGCCCCCGGGACACGGGCCGCGTTGTCACTTCCCCGCCACAGGCCCGGACCCCGGAGGCACCGGCGGTAAGAACCTGCCGAATAGCGACGACAGCGACAGCACTCAGTGGTTCTCAACCTTCTGGCCCTTTAAATACAGTTCCTCCTGTTATGACCCAACCATAAAATTATTTTCGTTGCTACTTCATCACTGTAATGTTGCTACTGTTATGAATCGTAATGTAAATATCTGATATGCAGGATGGTCTTAGGCGACCCCTGTGAAAGGGTCGTTCGACTGCCAAAGGGGTCGCGACCCACAGGTTGAGAACCGCTGGGGGGCCTGGTGTGCGTCGGGCTGTGTTCTCACACTCAAGAGGACCGGCCGCCCGGGTCACTTAGGAACGTGACACTGGGTTCACCAGGCCAGCTGCGCCGGGCCCCCAGCGG